ATTTTTTTGATTATCGCTTCATAATATGTTTATACTTTTGAATTTGTCAGGATTTTTAAAAGTGCCATTATCATTCATACCTCCTAAAGCATCTACAAGTTCCCGTGTATTAAGATATGGTATTCTTTTTTCAAGGGATTGTAATTTACTTGCAGAACGTTTTAAAGCATCATAAATAGTACTTTTACGTCGAATGGGTTTATCTTCAAATTCGTCGTCATTTGTAAAGGTGTCTTGGCTTTGGTATTGGTCTTGGTCGTAATAGTCGTCATCATCGCTATTCACTATGTCATCATAGCGATGTTCTATAACGTATGGAGAATTTGATAAATCTATATTAAACTTGTAATCATTGTTTTTTGGATAGAGTTCTTCTATTTCTTCTCGAGACAACTCTGTAGAGGGAATTGGATGAAATGTAAGGACCTCCATAAGTTCCAGGAGACCTTATACGATGTGGTGATAATTCTTTATAGTGCATTAGAATATACTCACAAAATAATTCTAAATTAAATCACCTTCAAACCAAGAGCAGCTTTGGCGATTTTTGCCAAATTATTTGGCTGATCCTTCATGCGAACAATCATTTCATTTATTTCTTGGCTAGTTGGAGTTTTTAATGTATTAAGATTTTTCTGAAGTATCGACGATATAAAGGCAAGAAGATATAATTCTGTGTAAGCATTTTGTGCTGATTGCACTTGCATATATGAATAATCTGCATCAGTAAAGTGTTCTTTTCTCGTAAAGTACATATAACCAAGATAAACCAAAACAAAGACAATTATAATATGGACAAGTTTCATTAAAAAATGCATATAAAATAAATTCGTTGAAATATAGAAATTTTTATATGCATATACACAAATGGTAAAATTGGTAGTATATGGAGATAGACAAGCTTTTTGTACGCAACGTGTGTTAATTTTATTGCATCAACACTGAATTTACCAGCTTGGATTGTTGCTCGTTGTCGTAAGTAATACATTCCAGTTTTCAAATTATTATTCCATGAATAGAATAACATGCTTCCAAGTCGTTTTAGATTTGGATTGTCCATAAACAAGTTCATACTCTGCATTTGATCAACAAACACACCACGCTCACTGGCCATTTCAATGACAGACCGCATAGAAAGTTCCCAGACAGTTTTATATACTTCTTTAATATGATTTGGGATTTCTTTTATTCCTTGTATACTTCCATTGTTAGCAACGATAATATCTTTTAATTCTTTGTTCCAAAGTCCTAATTTAGTAAGTTCTGATACCAGATATTTATTGATAACCATAAACTCACCTGCAAGGACTCTTCGTTGAAAATGCAAGAATCAATGGGCTCAAAGCTTTCAGTGTTTCCCATGATTTGGGCTGTGCTTGCTGTTGGCATTAAGGCAGTTAACATGCTATTTCTTATTCCATATTTTTTCAAATCACTTTTAAGTTCATCCCAGTCCCATCTGTCTGTTAATTCAATGTTAACAGAATCATAATGTTTGGCAAGATCCATTTGTAGGAGTCCTTGACTAAAAGGACTATCTTTATAACTAGAATAAGGTCCATGTTTTTTTGCTTCATCTATACTCGATTTCAATGTTGCATAATATATTGTTTCAAAAATTTCTCTATTAATTTTTTTAGCCTCTTTTGATTCAAATGGTATTTTTAATTTGAAAAATACATCAGCCAAACCTTGAACACCAATGCCTAATGGTCTATGTGCAATGTTTGTTTTTTTTAGTTTCTTCGGTTGGATAATAGGTATTGTCAATAACTTGATTCATAGCTTTAACTGTATGATAAGCAACTTCGTATAATTTAGTGTGATCAACTCCATTTTCGGAATCAACAAATTTTGGTAAAGCAATTGAACATAAATTACAAGTTGCATAATTATTGTCATCTGAATACAATGATATTTCTGAGCACAAATTTGAAGATTTAATTGTTCCTAAATTTTTTTGATTACATTTTCTATTAATGTGATCCTTGAATGAGACGTATGGTGTTCCTGTTTCGATGATAGACATTAAAATTGCTTTCCATAAATCTTGTGCTGATACGACTTTTCTGTATTTTTTTGCATCAACATATGACCAATATAATTTTTCAAAATCTTCTCCGTAAGTATCTGTTAGTCCAGGACATTCATCTGGACACATCAAATACCAGTCATCATTGTTTTTCACTTGTTTCATGAATAAATCAGGTGTCCAAATTGCATAAAATAAATCTCTTGCTCGAAGGTCGTCGTGGCCTTGTGATTTTTTCAGATCTAAGAATTCAAAAATATCTGCATGCCATGGTTCCAAATACATTGCAAAAGATCCTTTCCTTCGTCCGCTGTTATGAACAATACCAAGGTCTGTTTGGTAATTGTGGTTATCTTCCATGTTGAAATCATATACCAAACCAGAATAATTCATTTTAGAAATGCTTGTGACTTTTGTCCAAATTGTATAATCTTGTAATATATAGTTTTCATTGTCTGGAAAGACTTTGTTATCCATTATTTCAACCAAAATTCCACACTTTAAGTACATATACTTAATGTCCCTTAATAATTGTTCTGAATCACTATAAATATACGTGTATTCTGTCAACATATTATTAAGTACTAGATTTAGTTTATGTTTTGGTAAGTTGATTATTTTTTCATTGACTTGTTTGAATCCATCGTTGTTATATATTTCATCTATTGTAATTCCAAAAATTGGTTGGTTGTGATTGTAATCAAATGTCATGTTAACTAAATGTGATTCGATGTCATCTGTCATTGTGTAATTAATAGCACAATTCATAAGTAGATTTAAAGTGTTATTATTACTTTTTGGAATTATGAATTCATATTTATTTCCAACAATATTTCCGAATGCCATTAATGCTCCATAGAACATGTAGTATTCTATATTATTTGCAGAATTGTCGTATATTGTTGTTGGAATTTTATGACAAACGTAATATCCAGGCTTTAATGTTTCAGCAGGTACAAATTCTGGAGCTGAATTAATGTCTTTCTTTATATAGATTTCGTGTTCTTTTGTAACTTTGATGGGTTCTGCCATGGACCTTGCAGTTATTTTCAAGATTTCTTTGTTAATATTGTTTACAATTACTTCATTTACTTTCTTAAAACTTCCATCTATAGTTACAAGTTTATCATTTGTAGTTACACTTTTCATTTGTTTTGGTCCTTCTTCTGAATATACCCAGGAATCAGGTGTGAAACATTGATTTACCCATGCACAAGTTGAATTGTAAACTTTAATCATTGGAATAATTCCATCACTAACACCATTAGTTCCTCGAATAATACTTCCCTTAGCACGTATATTTGAAATATGGACACCAATACCACCACCTACTTTAGAAATTAATCCACAATCTGTAATTGTTTTGAATATCCCTTCAATTGAATCGTTTGTTCCCATTAAAAAACATGATGCATAATTTGGAAGTCTTGTTCCAGCATTAAACAAAGTGGGACTTGCATGTGTATAGTAGTGTTGGGAAATATAATCATATGTTTTCTTTACTGATTCAAGATCATTTTTGTGAAGTGCTATAGCAACTCTCATGTACAAGTGTTGAGGACGTTCAATACATTTCATTTTCCCATCTGAATGGTCATATACTTTTTGAAGATAACTTTTTTCAAGTGTTTTAAACCCAAAATAATCAAATAAGTAATCTCTTTTGTAATCAATCATTTTTTCAATTGCAGACTTGTTTTGTCTTGTAATTTCAATAAATTCATCAGAAACAATTGGGGCATGTTCTCCATTTTTGTCATAATTATTAAAGAGCCTATTCATTACATTTGAAAAGTACATATCTGTGCTTTTATGATGATTGCTAATGATAATTCTGGATGCTAATTTTTGATATTCCATATTTTCACTCATGGATACGGCAATACGTGCTGCTTCTTCGTCAAGTTCACTTGATGTTACTCCATCATAAATTCCTGATACTACTTTTTGAGCAACAATATCTGGATCAATTGTTGTTAACAACCCAAGAGGCTCATCTTGACATAACTTTTGCAATCTACGTATGATTTTGTCAAATGAAAGTTGTTCGTATGTTCCATTTCTTTTTTGGATCCTCATTTCCAATAACAAGTATATTTTGTTTAATGTCTCAACGAATATGATTTTCAATTTTTTTATAATAGCTATCAGTAATGACTGATAATCTTGAAAATATTGTTCAAAACATTGTAAGAGATAGGGACAAAGATACAAGCAAAGAAGATGTTCTTGAAAAAATAAACATTATTGATATTAATAATGGTTGGAACGATAAGAATGAAAGAATTGTTATTTCAATTGGTGAAAACGCAGCTAGTTACAAATGGATGCATGAAAAAAGTGCAGCTTCGTATCGTCTCTATTATCAAATAATTAGTGTTGCAACTATTATGTTTAGTACGGGATTAACCGTAGAAACAACTGTTTCAAACGATTCCCGCACATTTGTATTTGACATTATAATGAAACTATTCACATATATTGTCACTGTTTTATCAGTTCTTCAAAACTTTTTACAATTTGAGAAAAAATGTGAACAACATATGAACACCAGTGCTTTATTTAGTGCTCTTTATCACGATATTCAACAACAAATGTGCATGTATAGGAAAAATCGCGTTATGGCGAGCAAATATGTTGCAGACATAATGAAACAATATGATAGTTTAGTTGTAACTGGACCAACAATTCCTATTTCTATTGTTCTAAACTTTAAAAAAACATTTACAAATGCTGATATTTCTTTACCTGAAGCATGCGCCCGATGTGGGGGTCGAACCCACAGCCTTGCGATTACTTGTTCCCTCGCGGGTTTAAGAGTCGCACGCTCTACCGATTGAGCTAACCAGGCATGCGGAAAGTTGCAAACTGTTACAATATGACGGGTCCAGGTAACGGCCTTCGTTTCCCTTCCCCAACGCACGTCTTCGTCGACATGAAAAACCCCTAATCCGTTCCATTCAAATCCCAGCGAAACGGGCGCTCAACCCCCGATTTCCGTTTCCACGCCAGGCACAGGGGTTGGTTGGTTCCGCGGGCGGTTTTACGTTGTAAGGGGGGAGGGGGATAATGTAATATAGATACTTCTGCAAAAGGAAGAAAAAAAAGGAGAGAGAGGAGAAACGAAACACAGCCCAAAGTCGCCCCTTGCACGAACCAGCCCAAAAAGAAGAAAGAAAACGAAAAAAAGGAAAAAAGAAAGAAACAGATTGCGAAGCAAAGGGGGGTGCCCGCGCAAAAGGGGGTTGGTTTGGGCAAGGGGAGAGTGAGACGCGGTGAGCGACGAACTCCGGGGGGAAAGTAGGTGAGGCAAACCTACCCTCTCTCGGCGGGTCTCGCAAATAAAAGGGGGCGGGGGGAGGGTTTGAATGATGAAACTTCCATAAAAAAAAGAGAGAGGAAAGAAGCCCCCCCCGGGTCGTAGCTGCCGGGGGCGGGGGAGAGGGGGGGACGAAAGAAAAAAATAGAGAGGAACATGGAGGGTCTTAGACCGTGCGGACGGTGGGGGAAGGGGTGGCAAGCGGGAGTGTCAGCCAGCGAAAGTAGGAAACACAAGAAACTTGAAACAGTGGGGGAGATGGGATAGTATGGTCAGAGAGGGGCGGGCGCGTGAAACTCGGGATCCGCCTTTGAAGCGCAGAAGGGTTTAGGGGCCGTGGAAAGTGTGAGTTGGCGAGTCGTCCCCGGCATAGACACAACGGGTTACGGTGGTTGGGGAAGTGGGGAGCGCGGGGGGTGGCGGGTTTAAAGGGGGACGTCAATGAGCACTGCAAAAACGGGAAAAAAGGGTCCACAAAAAAAAAGGGAAAGGAACTTGTCCGCGAAGGAGTTGTGGGAAAAGAGGAGGGAGTGCATGGGAGGACTTGTCGGGGGCCCCTCGGTTGAGGAGTCAGAAATGCCGGCCCCATCCGTAACATAAAGCATAAATGAAGGGGAAGCGGGGGATAAAAGAAAAAGGGAAAAAGCGACCGTGCATAAATGTAGAGAGTAAGACGGCAGACGGCACAGAATGAAAAAAGAGCAGATAGAAAGAATAAAACAAGGCAATAACGTTGGGGGGAAATGGAGGGGTGGCCCGCGTCTCGCTTGCTCCGTTACAGAGCGAAAAGGAGGGGTGTGGGGGAAGAGCGAAAAGAAAAAAAACGCACGACAAAAGCTTGGGGTGGAGCGGGGAGACATAGGGAAGACATAGGGGGGAGACATAGCGGAGCGAGCGGTCTCGCTCTAGTAACTCGGGGGGAAACCGGGAGGAAAATATAGAAGGCTTGAAAAATAAGAGTACCGACACTCGAAGGCAAAGTGAAAATGAAAAAAAACACCAGTCCATGAACAGTCCTAGTTAATAACGCCATACCTTACCCCCGCAACCTCTTCACAAAAGTAAGGTTTCCCATAAACAGACGGGCATGCCAACGGTCTACATCACACAAAAAAGCAACCAAAAAAAAAAAAAAAAAAAAAAAAAATAATGCCAGGTGTGTGTAGCAGAAATAGAAAGAAAGAGAAACTCGGATTGATGTGCTTCAGTAGAGCAGCCCGCCGGCGGCGGCGCCGGGGCGCCGCACCTCGTCGCTCGCGCGGCCGACCGCGATCCTGCCGTTGCCGGCGCCCGCGTCAAAGGACATGACGGCGGCGGGCTGGGTGTTGCTGCGGAAGCGGCGCAGGCCTGACGCGGAGGCGCCGACCGCCGCCGCGGCGGCCGTGACCGAGCCGGGAACAACAACCTCTCCGGCGGCGCCGCCGTTGCCATTGCCGTTGCCGCTCGCCGAGAGCCCCGCGATGCCGGCGCGCAGCACCGCAATCTCGGCCTCGAGCTTCATCCGGGTCGCGAGGTTGTCGCCGACACCCAGACCGAGCCCGTCGTCCATCGAGGAGCGCATGGCGCCCCCGAGTTCGTCGACCGACCGGCGCAGGCCGGCGTCCCACTCGGCCGGCGACGGCCCCGACGACGCCACGGGGCCTGAGACCGACGCCCACCGGCCGTTCGCGCGCCTGCCCGTCCCGCTCCCGCTCATGGCCGCCGCCGCCGCCGCCGCAGACGCAGCTGACAGCGCCGCGGCGACAGACGGAAAGTCTTCCGCGGGCGCCGACGACGACAACTGCTGCTGTTGCTGTTGCTGCTGTTGGGCGGCCGCCCACGCCGCCGTCTGCTGCTGCGCCGAGATTTGCATCTGCGTTAGCTGGCTCGCCAGGTGCTGGTTCTGGCGCTGCTGGTGTTGGTGCTGCTGCTGGAGCTGCGAATGCGCCATCCGAAGCGCGTCGTCGTCGCCGTTGCCGCCGTCGCCGCCGTGGTACTCTTCCTCGATGACCTGGTGGATAAACGCCTGGGTCACGCTCGGGGGTACGCCGGCAGCTGCAGCGGCTGCCGCTGCTGCTTGCTGCTGCTGCTGCTGCTGCCTCGCCGCGCCAACGCGGAGCCGGACTCGAGCGATACGCGCCGTGGGGGCGACGTCAGGGCAGAGAGCAACGGGAAGCCGCCACTCGAGGCGGACCCGCTGTTTGGCGACTTTATCGAGTTTGCGGTCGTAGTTGCGCTGGTCGGGGTCGCCACCAGGAGCGGGGTCGTCGGGGACGGGACGGCGATGGCGGGGTTGTAGAGGATGGTCTCGGGGTGGGCGGTCGGCCCAAAGTCGAGTGCGTCGACGGATGGAAAGTACGATTGGGACGACGAGTGCAGCGCTTGCCGGCCCATCTGCAACGGCGGTGGCAACGGGGCGCCGCTGGCGAACGACAGCGGCTGCGGCTGCGACATATGACCGGCCGAGCGGACGCTCTGCGGCGACAAGGGCGAGAGCGGGACGGATCCTGCGCCGACACTGACGCCTACTCCCGGGGTTGCGCCGCGCTTAGGGCCGACGCCTTGCGGCGTCATTGGAGTTGCGGGAGACGAAGTTCGCCTGGGCTGCGGGTTGGTGAGGATGGCGTTGGCCGGGACGGTCGACGCGGGTGTGTCCTCCGGCCGGGTGGTGTGAATGAAGCAGCAGCGTTTTCCGTAGGGGCAGGAGCCCTGCTCCCAAAACGTCTTGCACATTTGCGTCTAAAGTGAGATGTGAGCGTGTTTTAGTGCGTGTGGTAATGCATTGATTGAGTATGGGTTGAATGGAAGGTTCGGAGTAAATCAATGGTGTGCGTTGTGATTGGGTGGTGGCGTTGGTGGCGCACAAGACAATCAGCAGCCACAACACCGGCTGCTTCACTAACTCCCTATATCCCTCCCTCTCCTACTACCCCCTCCCGCCACAACTTCCTTCATACCTTGTACTTTGGATGCCGATCAATGGTGCGCAGCTCGGCCTCCGAGTGCGCAAACTGGCACTTTGCGCCGTAGCGGCAGTTGCCCGTCTCCTCCCACGACCGGCACAGCTCCGTCTTGTACAGGTTGGCCTTTTTGGCGTCCTTGTCAAGCTTCTTCGCCCCTGCCCCAGCGCCGCTGGTCGAGCCGGCGGCGGCGGGACCCGCACCACCGACGCCGCCACCGTTACCACCGCTGCCAGGCGTCGTTCCTTGCAACTGATGATGCATGGCGACCAACTGTTGCTGCTGCTGCTGCTGTTCGAGCTGCATCTGCAGGCGCTGCAGCTGCAGCTGCTGCTGGTGGTGGAGTGCCTGGAGCTGCTGCTGCTGCTGCTGGAGATGGATGTAGTCTTCGATGCGCAGCATGCCGGCGGGAACGACGGCGGGCGGGGAGGAGGCGGCGAGGAGCGAACTGACAGCCTGCTTGAGCTGTTGGAACTGCTGGAGCTGCTGCTGTTGTTGCTCCAGCGTCGCCAGGGGTGTTTGCAGCTTTGGCCCGACCTGAGGCTGCGTAAGTGGGGTTTGAACAAGAGGAGTCTGGAGAAGCTGCTGCTGTTGCTGCTGTTGTTGCTGTTGCTGCTGCTGCTGTTGGATGAGCAGCGCGCGGACATCTGGGAGAGATCCGTGATGCAGTCCCGGCACGGCAGGTGAGCTCGGGACAGGCGCCGCGGACACAAGGTACGAGTTGTCTATTGACTTGCGCGAAGCCAGCAGCTGTTCTTGCTGTTGCTGTTGTTGTTGCTGTTGCTGCTGTTGTTGCTGATGTTGCTGTTGTTGCTGCTGTTGCGATTGAAGGTGCTGCTGCAAAAGTTGTTGCTGTTGCAGCAGCAGGTCTTGCGATCGTCTCGGCCCTGGGCCGGGACCCGCCTGCGGGGCAATGTAACTTACGGCCATGTCGTCCACCTCACGGTAGTACTGCTGCTGCTGTTGTTGGAGGAACAGAGCCGCGGGCAGCGCGTGGGACGGGCCGGCGTCTGTGAGTGTCATCAGTGGGACCGAGTTTGGCGAGTACGGGTTGACGGCGGTGGAGGCGGCCGACTGCATGGACGGGGAGGAAGGGAGGGACGGAGCGGAGACGGAGAGCATGGAGCTGATGGCGGCCATGGAGGACGCGCTGCGCTTGTGGGCGTTGACAAGGCTTCGAGCGGACGACGAGGCGGAGCCGGAGATGCTGCCGGCGGCGCTAGAGAACCCGGCAGGCCCGTCGAGCGAGGTGCGCGGCGACGACGAGACACTGCGCGAGTGGAAGAGAGCGGGGACTTGCTCGAACGAGGAGCGGGGCGACGGCCCGTTGGACGAGGTGGGGAGGGACGACGGCGCCGGGCGCTGCGAGCCGCCGCTGCCCCCGGAGATGCCGGGTTGTTGTGGTGAGCGCAAGCCGTACTTGCCTTGTAGCGCTTCGTCCAACGAAGGCGAGCCTCCTCTGCTCCGACCGTCGCCTCCGGCAAGGGGTTCGTAGGAGACGGGCAGACCTCTGGTGTTGTTGTTGTTGTTGTTGTTGTTTGGGTAGTTACCGGCGCTGCCGTTCCCGATGCCGTTCCCATTGCTGTCGCCGCTGGTGCGCCTGTCGCTGCCGCCGTCCTCCTCGTCGAACCCCACGTTGCTTACCGGATGGCTGCCCTGATGCGCGATCTGCATCTGCAGCTGCAGCTGATGCTCATGTAACTGCTGTTGTTGTTGTTGTTGGTGTTGCTGTAGTTGCAGTTGTTGCAGGTATTGGTGTTGTTGTTGTTGCTGCTGCTGCTGCTGCTGTAGTTGGTGCAGCTGTTGGTGCACCAGCTGCTGCTGCTGCTGCTCGCGGGAGGAAGAGGAAGAGGAGTACATTGCCGCCGCCGCCGAGACGAGGACGCTGTCGCCGTCCATCGATCGGGAAAGGGCGATGGTTTGGGGTGGGTGGGTGTGGATCGGATAGTCGTGTGTGGGGGGGGATGATGGGTGGGGGGATGGATGGGTGGATGGATGGATCAATGGATGGATTCGATGGGTGAGTGGGAAGGCCAGCCAGCAGCAGCAGCAGCAAGCAGCAAGCAACGATAGTGGGCAGGCGGAGTTCAGGGTAACGGGCGACACGCGACGGGCAAATACACTGCTACTACTACTACTACTACTACTACTACTACTACTACTACTGCTACTACTAGCTACAATAAAGATAACCCGCGCTCGTTCGCTCGCTTGCTTTCGTTCTCTTCCTTGATTTGCCTTCCTCGCTGCTTGGCTGGCTGCCTGTGAGTGGGGAGTGAGTGAGTGAGTGAGTGAGTGAGTGAGTTGACGAAAGCGAGGCAGGCAGGCAGGCAGATGTGTGTGTGTGTGTGTGCGTGAGAGCCGCAGACAGACAGACAGACAGACGGACAGACAGAGAGGCAGTCAGAACAGGCAGACAGACAGACGGAGGCAGGCAGGGCGAGCGAGAGACAGACACACGAAGAGAGAAAAACGAGCGAGAGACAGACAGACAGACAGACAGACAGACAGACAGACAGACCGAGAGACAGAAAATCCAAAGATGTCACCCACAGCCCCCCCGCACACAAAGTCTGCCTGCCTGCGCCCAGCGAAAGATGGCGACTTGTGGCCGTTGTTGGTCAGCAGCAAACCCCGAGAAGACAACACAACAACAACAATTGGAGAGGACGGGATGGGACGACAGGACGAAAAGGAAGAAGAAGAAGAAGGTAACGCGCAGCGGGCGGCGAGGGCGGTGCACACGCATACGCAGCCCGAAACGCAATGCATGCATAGGCACGGAGCTACCAGCAGCAGCAGAGAGAGAGAGAGGGAGAGAGAGAGAGAGAGAAAGAGAGACAACCACGCCCCTTTTGCTGCCTATAAGGCACCCAACCCTCCACAAACCACGCGCGAGATTCGCAAGCCCCAGAAAGAATTCGCCCGAATTCGCTCCCTCCCTCCCACGGCCTGCCCGCATTCTGCCGTTCTTCCACCCCAGAAACCCCCACACACTCACTCACGCACGCGTGGCGACGGGTGGGCGGGCGGGCCGGCGGGCGGGCGGGCGGGCGCGGGGCAACAACGAGCAAGCCGTGGGGGGGGAGGTGACGAAAGGGACGGACGGTCATGTGGGTGGGAACTTGTGTGTGTGTGTGTGTGTGTGTGTGTACGTACCGCGCGCAACTCGGGTTGTTGTTGTTTGGTCGAAGCTTGCGACGAACGACAAACAAAACAAACGAAACCAAACCTGTGCGATGTGTGTTTGTGTGTGTGTGTGTGAACGTGTGCATGAGTGAGTGTGTGTTCGAGACAGAGACAGACAGACAGACAGACAGACAGAGAGCCAGAGCCGGAGAGAGAGCGAGTGAGTGAGAGAGAGCGAGTGAGTGAGAGACAGCGACAGAGACAGGGAGTAGCGCCGTGTTCGCGCCCCCCACGCACCCAAGCCCGTCGTCAATCAGGGAGGGCGGCGGATCCACACACGAAACAATCACCCCACCCACCCACCACCACCCACCTCGCCTTCCTTCCACACGGCGAGGGCGTCCCCCAAAAAAAAAAAAATGCGCGCGTAATGGGTGAGCGGGAGGGAGCAGGAAAGTTGGAGTTTAGATTTAACAACTACCCCAATATTGTTTACGTGGTGGCGGGCGTGCGTGCGTCCGTTCGTTGTGCGTGTGTACACGCCCCACTCACCCGCTGTCGGGCGTCTCCGGTCCCCGGTTTGCACTGATCGGGTGCGCGGGTTGTGGTTGAGTATATCTTCCGAAGGCGGGTGGCGACAGATCGGGAATTTTTTTTTATCTGTGCGGTACCGGGGTGTCTTTTGGTCTGTTCAGTGGTATCCTTTCGTTTTCGGCGACGACGACTGCTGGCTGGGGCGAGCGCGCGGCGGACGAGGGCAGGGTGAAGGAGGGCGGAGCTGAAGGGGAGAGGAGAAAGGAGTGGATGAAATATATGGAGGCGTCAGTGCCATCGACAGAGAGAGAGAGGGGTCGAGAGTGAGAGAGAGTGATTGAGTGAAAAAGAGAGCGAGAGAGAGAGGGAGAGCGAGAGAGAGAGACAGACTCATCCGCTTTTGGCGATAAAGGGAAATGAAAAAAACGGCGGATCGATGGCGACGGGCGCCCACACACACGCGACAGTGACAGAGATAGACAGACAGATAGTGAGACAGACAGACAGGTAGATGGACAGAGACAGATTTTCACTCTCATGCAACGAGCCAATGTGGAGAGAAAACAAAAGAAGACAAAATAAAATTGACGGAAAAACATTTGCACCACAAAAGACAGAAAGATCCAAGAAGAACAACGCAACACTGGCAGAACAGACAGAGAGGTTTGTCTGTCAGTCTGTCTGTTGTCTATGTCGGGCTGTGAGCAATGGCACGTTTTCCTGCGGATTTGACGACCCCACATGGCTGCGCGCAAGAATGAGCAAAAGGGAGACAAAGAGGCAGACAAATCAGGGAGCGAGACAGACGTACAGCGCGTACTGCGCCAAGACAAACGTGCAAATCGTGCGTTCGCGACACCCATGGCCTGCAAACAACGAAGTGAAATACTGGCATTACTGAAAGAGAGAGAGAGGGAGAGAGAGAGAGAGAGAGAGAGAGAGAGAGAAGAGAGCGCGAGAGACATCCAGCAGGCAGGGTGTTGAACACCAAACACTGTCCAATTGCCGAATGCGTGCATGTGACATGTGTGGCCGACACATCGACTTCAGTCACACACACACACACACACACACACACACACACACACACACACACACACACTCGCCACGTACCCTCTCTCTCTCTTTCTGTCTCTCTCTCTCCTCCTCTCCCGCTCTTTCTCTCTCAATCCATCTATCTCTCACATCTCTCTCTCTCTCACTCTCTCTCTCTTACCAAAGCCGCAAAATGCAAACCCCCCCCCCACAAAGCGGCGGGCAAACAAACACCCTGTTCCTTCCGCGTTTTCTTCATTGGCACACGCACCCACGCACATAGCGAGCACACACACGAAATTGCGACAAGGCGTGCCCAAGCACACATATGCCACAACAAGCTCTCTTCGCGCTGTTCGCGACGTACTGTTTTTGGGCAGCACACAAACACAAACACGCACAGAGACATGTCCAAACAAATACAAGCTGCGGGGAGAGAGAGAGGGGGGGCAGCAAAAAGTGCACGTCAACTGGGCACAACTGGTCTCTGGGTCTCTCGCCCCCGCCCCCCCCACACACATCCACACATACACACACACACGCGCGCTCTCTCTCTCACACACACTCTTTGGATTTTTTCGCGCGACCGCCCCAGCACCACCACTAATGCATCTGATCTGATCCATCACAGCCTTGCCTCGCTTATCAATCATCAATCTTTCCATACGACAAGGGGAACGAGCGATTAGACAGCCCAAGCGCCGCCCCACACGAACGGAAAAATTTAAAGAGACACACGACCCGCTTATCTCCCGCACCCCGCTCCACTCCCCCGCAAACCACCCACGCCGCATCAGATCCATCGATTGGATTGCAAACAAACAAACAAAACCCCCCCCCCCCCCCCCCCACCCACGTCGCGCGCACGCACGCATTGCGAACGACGACCCTCAATCGGCGCCACAAGCCTCCTTCGGGCGTCTCTTCGGCCCCTCCCCGTTGGAGAGTTGGAACTTGGGGGTAAATGGGGTGGCGTCAAGACTGCGTGAAAACGAGAAATTGGATTCAAATTAACTCCCAACCCCCAAGCCAAACAATTGAGACTTGTCAAACTTGGGGAGGGTGGAGGGGAAACGGGAGGATGAGGAGTGTGGGTATGGGACATTGCGACTACATTCTTTTTTTTCGGTTTTTCTGTTAGTTTTTCTTTCCAGCATTTGTTTGTTTTGCTTCGAGATCCGAAAATGTATTTGATATATTTGCCTGGTCCTTTTCGATCACGGACTTATAGCTCAGTGGTAGAGCGGTCGACTGCAGTGTCCCGGAGGGACCAGTCATCGACAGGTCGCCGGATCAACCCCGGCTGGGTCCTTTCTCGTAAAATTTTCGATTTCCGCCGCAAATCAGCTTGTGCCCGTTTGGCTGTTTCCACAGATCGTATCTTTGGGTGCTCTCCTGATTTGTGTTCTGTCATGGTTGTGGGCCCTCTTTTCAATTCCCCAAATTTCTCCTCATCCAAATTCAAAAGATCTTTCCCCTCGATTTCGCCTCAAATGAGACAGCACCTCATTCTATTTTTTTCCCTCATTTGTGCAGTCACAATTGGCCCCCACCCCATTTTGGGGAAATCAACGGACTCTTTCCGTGCCCTGTTGTCCTCTGGTAAAAAGGGTAAATCTGGCAACCGAACGGAGTCGGTGGTACTTGTAGCTCAGTGGTAGAGCGGTCCACTTTCGACGGACAGGTCGCCGGATCAACCCCGGTCGGGTACCGTCGCCGCATAGCTACTCAAGGTTCGAATGTGGATGGTTGAGCATCGTCGGGCACGTACCTATGACACTTTGCCTTCCTTTCTATTTTTTTTTTTTCCCTTCTTTTGCCCCCTTTTTTTTTTTCGACACCCCGCCGCCGCTGTCTTTGGTGGGCGCGACCAACACTGCACCAGGCGCTGAACCAAGGCCCGGTTCCGGTCCACTTCCATTGCCGTCTGAATCCTCGGAAAAGGGAAAAGCGCTTTTCCCAACTGCTTTTCTGCCTCACCACCTCGCCATTCCACCGTTCCCGTCGCCCCTCGAGTCCCCGCCAGCCCCCCCCCCACCTCGGCACTCTCAGCCGCTTGGCAGCTCTGCAACCACCACACGGCTCTGCACTTCTTGGTTTGCCCCAGTAGCGCTTCGGTCCGACCGGGGGCCGTCAATCGTCCGCCGCCCGTTTTCGCCACTGCCCACGACACTGAACCGCTTCGGGTCAAATGTGTTGCGAGGTCAGGGGAGAGCGCCGCCGAAGGACCGGTGCTTTTTAGAACCAGATCTGCGTCAGCTCGCGATTGCGATCGGTGGGCAGAGGTTCCAGTGGAAAGTATTGCGGCGAGTTCTCCACCCTTGCCTCATGGCGGGAATGCTTTGGGAGGGATGGGAGTCGCGACTCACTTTCAGCACTTCCCTATTGTCCAGTCTTGTCGTGGAACAGGCCAAAGTTCTCCGCACCGGAAGTGTGCTCGGATACTTCTTGGTAGTGTGTCTCAGAAAGGAATAGCAAGTCTATCACTCCAGCCCACCTCTGGCCTGCTTTTTTTCGGCTCTCTCTCTCTATCATTGCCTCGCTTTTGATAGCTTTTTTAGCCTGGTGCTGTCGAATGTGTGGCCTCGCATGGAACATGAGAAACATTGGAAAAACAAAATCTCCGAATGAATGATTTCGGTACTCACTAATCGACAACGGCAGGACTCGAACCTGCGCACCCAGAGAGTAACAGATTTCGAGTCTGTCGCCTTAACCGCTCGGCCACGTTGTCTTACAAACCAATTTTAAACTCAGACAATAACTTTAATACCTAGGGTTGGACACAAGGATTGGGAATTGTGCTCCAACTTCTCACGCCGAGCCCTCCCTCACTTTGGACTTCCGACGTTGCTCGCCTTTAGTTTACTTCGGCTGGGTCGTGCACTTGCTGCATAGCCAAGGGTTTGTAGTGTTTTTTACTCGGGAGAAGGAAACACAGTTTTATGCAAGTTTAACCCACGAAAGAAAAGACAGGGCCGACTGTCCGACCGAGAGGGGTCGCGTTGCGCATGCAGCAAGAGAGAAACAGGAAGAAGGGAACGGAAAGCGAACACGAAAACACACACACACTCACACTCACACGCACACACATGCCCCCCACTCCCCAACCCCACCCTCACGCCACCCCATCCCTAACCATCTTGCACACGACCCTCGCGACATTCCTCGTATCATCAATGCCCGAATGCTGCCTGCCCTGGAACCCCTCCCCCGGAAACATCGCCTCGCACATATGGGCGAGCCCGCCGCCGACGCGCCTCCTCGCTTTTTTCCTTCGCGCGGCGGGGTACGCGTCGCGGAATCGTTTGCGGACGTCGAGGTAGTCGCGCATGTAGCGCGGGACGGGGAGGCCGGAGAGCTTGCACTGCTTGGCGACAAAGTCGCGGATGTCCCAGGGTCCGTCGGTCGCGAAGCGGACGACGATGGGCGCGGTGGGGTCCGGTGAGGTCGCGTCGCCGTCGTCGGCGTCGTCGTCGGCGTCGGTGTTGTCGTTGGATCCCGCCGCGTCGCCTTCATCCTCCTCCTCCTGCTCCTCCACGTCCTCCGCAGCTTCCTCCTCCCCTCCGTCGTCACCCTTTCCAGTCTCTCCGTCCTCCTCTTCACCCACTTCCTCCGCCTCACCGACATCCCCCTCGTCCGCAACCTCTTCCTCCTCCTCCACCACCACCTCTTCATTCCTCCCCCTCCTCCTCCTCCTCCTCCTTCCCTTCCCCGCCTTCCCCCTCTTACCCCCCCACTGCCTCCGAAATCCCGCGCCCACCCACCTCTCCAACCACTCCTCAAACTCCCGCAACACCTCCACCCACGTGTCCGCAGCGTCCACTTCCGCCTGCCGAATGCCCGTCAACCCGACGCAAAACTTTGTCAACACGGGGTTCAGGACGGGCCTCACGAACCGCCTAAACTCTGTGACGACGCGCGCGTCGGCGCGGGAAACGAGGACGACGGGGAACTCGATGATCTCGTTCGGGAAGTGGCCGCGCGGGACCGTGTCGTCGCAGGTGGCTTCGACGTCGAGGACGCAGTAGTACTGCGGGAGGTCGTCGCCGTCGAAGACGGTTTTGGCGCGCGCGACCCGCGCGGCGGGGTCGCGGTGGGTGTCGGCCAACGACGGCTGCGGCGGCGGGGGGGAGGCAGCGGATACGGCGGCGACGCGGGGTCGCACGTTCTCCATCGGTCGCGGCAGGACGCCGACGGCCTGTGCGACGCGGCGGGCGTGGGCGGCGACGGCCGCGGGGCCGTGGTCGTCCAGCAGTTTCGTGACGACGGCCGCGGCGCGGGCGAGCTCTGTCATTGCGGCGCCTTGCTCGCTGCCGCCGAGGGGCAGGCCGACGGCGGACTCGGTCGCCGCCAAGTTTCTCAGGTGCTTACCCGCGCAGGCGGCGGCGATCCAGCGTAGCAAGACGGCGGGGCGGGCGGTGGAGACGGCGGGGAAGAAGCGGGCGGGACGTGGGGCGAGGGTGGAGGCGAGGACGGGGTGCGGGGCCGGGGCGGTGAGGAGGTGGGCGGCGAGGGCGGCGGCGGCGAGCGGGGAGACGGGGACGACCTGAACGGCGGCAGACGGATCCGTGGCGCTTGTGGCGGCGGCGGCGGCGGCATGGAGCCAGCTGGCGAAGCCGGCGGGGCCCTCGAAGGTTGCGACGACGCGGGCGGCGGGGTTGCCGGGGACCACCAGGGCGGCGCGGACGGAGGTTGGGGGCTCGTCGAGGGTGCCGTCGTCTCCAGCAGCTTCGTCCTTGTAGTTGTCGTCCTCTCCGATGAAGTCCACGACGCAAAAGGCGGCGACGACGGCGTCGCCGGGCACCGTCACTTTCTGGGTGGTCTCGGTGTTGACGTCTGCGCGGACGGCGCGCAGGCAGGCTTCGACGGCGGCCTTTTCGTCCTTGACGGCCTTGCGGAGGCGCTTGGCGAGGGAGTCCTTCGTGCCGCGCGACGAGATGCGCAGCGCGGCGAGCGCGGCGCGGAGGTCGGCGACGGTTGGCTTGCGGCGGGCGCCGAGCCCCGCGCCGTCGGCGGTGCCTTCGGGCTCGTCAAATTCGGGGTCGAAGGGTGGTGAGTCGCCGGCGCCGGTTGCGGCGGCTGCGTCCTTGTTCTTGTTTTTCTTGTTTTTCGTCTTCGGCATCCTCAAGTCGCCATTCCCCACCTCTACCTCGGCGGCGGCGGCGGCGGCGGAGGCGTCGATGTCTGCTGCTGCTGCTGCTGCTGCCGCCAATGCCGACGCCGATACAGATGCCGATGCGGATGATGATGATGATGATGATGCTGGTGCTGGTGCCAACGATGGCATCGCCGCCGCCGCCGCCGCCGTCGCCGCCGACGAAGACGGGGTCGGAGCCGGCGTCTGCTGCTGCTGTTTTGACTTGGCCATGAAAACTACAACAATTGCAGCGAACCCCTTCTATTAACGTGTGGCTCGCCGCTTTTAATGTGATAATTCTACCCCTCCCCTCTCTTCTTCCCTTGTGCTCTCTCGCTCTCTCTCGCTCTCGCCTCGTGGCTGCGCGCGCGCGCGATCACCCTTCCTTCCCTCCCAGGCAATGTCTAACTGTATGTTCGGGGGGTCAAGCCACTTCCCGACATCCCACACGTCCTTTCTGTTTCTCTTTCTCCCCCAGTTCCCTTTTTCTTCCTTCTCAGTCGCCCGTCTCTTTTCCCACTTTCAAACGCAATGCTTTGAAGCGATAACAGAGGGGATCGAAAAAGGAAAAGAAAGGAGAAGAGGGAAAAGGGAAACAGAGGCAGCGGGAGAGAAAGAGAGAGAGATGGATGGATGGATAGATATATTCCCTAACCGAACCGCCGAGCCTGAGAGAGAGAGAGAGAGAGAGAGAGAGAGCGAGAGAGAGAGAGAGTGTGTGTGTGTGAGTGGGTCTGAGCCAGCACAAAGTCACAACACGTTTTCCGTTCAAACACCCCACCTCATCATCATTGCATCTAGCGACGGCCCCCTCGCTTGGGTGGGAGTCACAAACACGGAGGTGTTTGCTTTATTAAGGCAGCGGCATTTTGCTTTGCTGGGTTAAGATCGTTCCAGAACGGGCTTCCTTTATTTATTGTTTTCGTTACTGGTTTTGGAAAAGGGAGTGGGGTCGGGGGGTGTCACTTGAGTAATCGCTCGTTTTCACCTGATACGGAGAGGGTTTACAGTAGCAGGACTCCAGAGATAGCTGAGGACCGGAAAGCAACCGAAAAAAAAAAAAGAAGAAAAAAGCATCGCACGCCGTAGTCGAGCACGTTACCAACCCACCGCAATGTCGCTGTTTCGGCTAATGAAGAGTTGAGTCGATAAGCGGGATAGTGAAGAGAAAGTAGAGGGGAGTCGAAGGGTGACTTGATCCAGATCGGGACACACTCAAGTCGCGGCTAACAATTCTATCCTTTCAACCCAATCGACTCGGCACCAACCATAAAATAACAACAACGCAGAGCCGTCCTCGGTGGATCCCAGCCGCAGCAAGGTTCCGCACTTCCCTCGTTCTCTTCCCCCTTTTCAACTACCCCAAACTAAACACCCCCCCCCCCCCCCCCCCCCGCGCAACCCCCTTCCCCTCACCACACCCAGGACCGCACGGCCACCACCACACCCCTCAAACCCGCCACCCCAACCACCGTCGCCAGCTCGCACGACACGCTGACCTCCTCTACCAGCAGCCTCACCCTCTCCTCCGCCACCACCACCACGTCCACCACCGGCGAGAGCGGTCGCGCG